GTTGCCCTCAACCTAGCAACTGGACAAGGAAATTATGAAAGGAGAGATATTAATTTATAAGATTAATAAATTAATATATATATATATATATATATATATATATATATATATAAATGATTTATTAATATGTTAATGGATTAATATATTAATTAGAAATCATTATGTTTAATTAATTGTTAGCCAGAAATTAATCAGAATTGATTTTGGGGTTAAAAGAATTAATTATAAGGTGCAGGGACTAGTTTGCAATTATCTAATAGTTGAGTGGAAGGCTCTAGAACCCCCTTGGAAGAGGGTGGACGAAATCTTTAGGGGAAACCCTAATAATTTCGTCCATAGGGGCTTGGATAAGGCCTTTGGGTTTGCTTAGGCCCTAAGCAAAGGATAACTAGGGTTTCCCTTAAACCCTAGATCCCTCAACTATTTAAGGAGCCTCCTGGCTCACATTTTGGGTACTGAATTCTTTGGAAGAAACCCTAGTGGCCGAAATTGCATACTCCCTCCCCTCTCTCTTCTTCTACTTTCCTTCTTGCTAGTTTGGGTGTGACTCCATTAGAGGCATTACACTTGTGGTGCTAAAGCTTCCAAGAAGATCAAGATCAAGATCAAGGGAATATCAATTGTTTGCTATAACAATTGAAAGGTATGTAAACCCTAAACCCTAGTTTACTATTTTCGATAATAGCCTCTCTCCTCTAGGGTTCTTGTATTGCAATTCAAAGTTGTATGTTCAATAGTTAAAACATAGATCCAAAGTAGGTTGCATGTGAACTTAGGAATTGTTTTTCTAGTTTATTTGTTTTACCTAAAACCCTTCACTTTGAATCACCACACTTTTTCAGGTGAGTTCATACCCCTACATTTTCACGCATTTTTCATGTTTTAGGGGGGGGGGGGGGGGGGGGAAATACAAGTGAAACACGAGATAAACTCATATTTCAAATACACGTCGTTAGAAATGTTTTTCAAATACTTTATCTAGATTTTTTTGTTATGGATGATAAACAACATTTATACTAATATTATACTTCACATGCAAAGTTGATATTACACCAATTTTTGTGTTATCCAATGGAACACGCTTTTGATGAACTATAATGGGTATAGTTTACGGGTTATTCATTACAACTTTACGTAAACATTGTGAAAAATGAAATACTTTCATCTACATGAAATATAGACTTTTTTTTTGTAAATCTATAAATACTAAGTGTTGTGAGACATTCAACTTCAACGTACTTACAAGTACGCATTTCAAGTCCTGTATTATAAGCCATAATCTCTTGGAGGGAGAGCGTGATACTTGTGTATAGATCTATACGGGATTGACAACCCCGCACCTAAACTGTTAGCTACAGTTAGACCGACAGGTCTGGGGTGACAAACGTTATAACACTACAACGCCTGAAGAACGTTGTTACAGGCAGTTTGGGTCAATAGCATGGTTATAAAACTCACACGGAAGTATTAAAATAAGTTTGATTTACGAGACTTTTGAATGCATTCAGTAAATACATTATTTGAGTATAAATACACTTTCATTATTTTGAGCACGAAAGACACTATTGTACTCTAGTCCTTGGAACTTTTTCAAACTATATATAGAAAATATTGGATTTTCTGGAAAACACGTTCAATTATTTTTACTAAAGGACATACAAATTTCAGTACGAAAACGCTTATTAATCACCAACTTAATTGTTGACACTTTTCAAAACTACTTGTATTTCTCAGGGAATCAGTAATACAGGTAACCATCAGCTTTTGGAGAAGGAACGCTAAGGCGTCTATTATCAAAACATTTAAAATCATCATATTTGTAATATTCTTTTGAAACATGTATTACACGCAACAATGTAAGTTTTTATTATATTTATGATGGTTGTGTTTACTTTCTTTACAATATTCAACTGTTATGATACTACGTGAAGTCACCCACCCCCGAATGTTTCCGCCATCCTGGTTTGGGGGTGTGACACTCTTGTGAATTTCCTGACTGACCCGACAGAAGGAAGGTCAACCCTTTGACCAGTTGACGTTTTGATTTTTGGATGAGTTGGAGGGAAACATGTATGTATGGACCTTACTGGGGTATCCCCTCTCGTAGGCTTGAGGGTCGGAGGTTTCACGGCGGGGCAGGCTTCATTAAAAGCTGCTACATGCAAGGTCACCAAACATGAGAAATCATGCATGGAAAATCAACATGTGTTCATACCATTTGCATTTGATACCTGTTAGGTGCATTTCATGTACCCATTTTGTAGCTTTATTTCATAAAAATACATTGCATATAGGCTTAAACTCATGCATTTTGCATGTTTTTCGGGATTTTTCATGAGGCAATTTCATTCACATACTTTTATGATATTTTAGGGACTTTTGGAGGTAGGATATTGTTGGAGGAGGTAAATAAAAGTTGCGGACAAAATTTCAGGACTTGCGGAGCACCGAGGAGCAAGATATCAAAGAAATGAAGATTTTGGCTTTACAGAGATTTACACGGCCGTGTAAATGCAAGCCTTGCGTTTACGCGGGCCGTGTAAACGTAGATTTCTGCACAGTATATTTTTGCGTTTACGCGGGCCGTGTAAATGACAGTGTTAATTTACGCGGGCCGTGTAAACGTAAATGCGGGTTTTAAAGCAGTTTTTCACCATTTTTAAAGGGGGAACCGACTTTTTACTTTGGGGGTCGATTTTTGGAGTAGAGAAGGCGATTTTCTTGAGGATTTTGAAGTTGATTAACACTTGGGAACATTTGATTTCATTTTGTAAGAACTTTAATTTCATTTTCTAGATTTGTGATCTTGTTCTAGTCATGAGTGGCTAGAACCCTAGATTCTCCAACTTTATGTCTTGACTTCTAGTTGTGATTTCAATCATATGACTTGATGTTTTCTTTCAATTTTCTATCTAGTGAATTTGATTTTGTTTCAATCGAATGTTTGATTCTAATTGTGATTCTTATTGGCCATTTGAATTAGGGTTAGATCATTCAAGTTATCTAATTGCAAAATTCGTAATTGTTTTGTAAATTGGACTAGGTAACAAGCACTAAACTGATTTCTATTGAATGAATTTAGTGTAAACCTTATTCACACATTCTTATGCTCCCGAGCTTATGAGGAGTATTGAGTGTTGTTGGGAACATTCACATAAAGTTTAATGCAATCTTTCAACCTAATTCTAAGAGTTTGTTTAGATTAGATTGGTAAGGTTAGGATTAATCAGAGAGCTTGTTTTGGTTAATTATTGTGGTGAATGGGAAGTGTTAGAGCTTGTTAACACTTTCAAGTACCAACTTAGATAGAATTAAACAAATATCTTGTCATCCATGGAATCACATTGCTAATTTGTCTTGCATAGAGTTGGAGTACTTACAAATCTTGAACTTATTTCACTTAATCAATTGCTTACTCATTAAATTAGCTCTTATTTGAATCATTGCATTTAAATCCCCCTCTTTTGTGATCATAGTGTACCTTGCGCAAAAAGGTATAAGCATTTGTCCCGTGTCTCTGTGGATCGACCCTACTTACCTTGTACTACGTTTTTAGTGCATAGTAGTAGTGTTTAAGGAGTCATTTGTACCCTTTATTTGTTGGGTTTGACACGCCCTAACAATACCTTTGGTTTCCGTGCGCCGGATGCGGTGAAGCTTCTTAGTAGAGTACAACAGATTATGCATAGTAATGTTATATCCCCTAGTCCCTAGATCTATGGATGTAGTCTTCAAAATAATTGATTTTACCATACAAAAAGGCTTAGCGGCGCAACTTGTTGTCCGTTTGCCTTCTCATTCGTTGTACGATGATAACTAAGGGCTTGTTTGATAAGCCTCTTACTGGATCCAGTAAGAGGTGAAAATCTGATTTGGTCCAATAAGACCGTTTGATATTACCATATAATGGCTCTTACTCGGTCCTAGGATATCTGATTCAGTCATATGAAAAAAGATGCTGACTGAGAAAAATCATTTCATTGCTCTTATTCCAAAATACGCTCGCTCCTTCACACCTCTCTTCCTCGTCACTGATGAATGAACGTACTCCTCAAACATCGGCCTCCATCCCCGGCGTCGTCGTTGTCGCCGTCCTCTCCCCAGGACCACCTTCCTTCATCGCTAGTTCCTTTTCTTGATTGATTGATTTCGATGAAGTGTTAAATAAAAAGTTTTTTGATTCATAATCTTCCATAGGCTTCGCAGCAACAAGATAACCTGTATGACGATTTTTCGTAGGCCTCACAACAAGATAACATGTATGAAGATTTTTGATCTATCTATGATTGTTTGATGGATTAGAGGCAACCATAGCTTGGATTAAACAACGAATTCATCATCAATGAAGGAAACGCGATGCCCCCAAACATTTGATTCTCAATGTTAGCTTTCGTTTGGAAACAAACCCATGTTCCCAAAGATAAATGGGGGTTTAACATCCCAACCGATTGATCCAAATTGATCTTTCTCAAATGCATCAGTAGTTGAAAGAGATTCATCATCTACAAAATTCCAGATCAAATTGTTGTCATAAAAAGTGATGTCCATGTGAAGGTAACAAATCTTGATTTCTTGAAGTATTCAAAATTCCATATCAAATTGAATCCCATAAGGACAAGAAACTGTAAAGGTAATGAATGAGCTTTGAAAGGAAATTGCAATCAAGAAACAGTGATGAAGTAGATAAGCTGATGCATATGCGTCAATAGTAGAAACATGTTGAAGTGATGTAGTTTGCGTCGTTCTTTGCTACTCCATTGACTATACTTATAGTGGGTTCTTTCATCTTTGGTACTTTTGTGTTTGTCTCCATGGTGGTAGAGCATGTGATATGTATTGTCGACTAGCTAGCATTTGTCAACAACTTTTGATGTTTTATTTATTTTTATTACAACATTGTGCTTATATTTATTTTAATTACAACATTGTAATGATTTGTTTGTTATAGCATTCTACTTTGATTTGTTTGCTATATAATTCTATTCTTATTTACATTATTTGTCCAATATAAGAAAGCTTATAACTTTTTTTTCTCAAACCAACAGATTTTATTCAGAACAAAACAAAACAGAGGGGTAAAATGGTCCTTTTCACCATTTATCACAGTCGGCCAGATGCGTAATCAAACAACGGAGGTGCAAATATTTACAATCTAATATATCATTCGGTCCCTTCAACATCCTCTTCAAATATCTTATAGCCCCGTCATTTAAAGACGCATTATCCACTGTCACAGTAAACACGGTTTCAATCCCCCACTTTTGTATGCACTCATAAACCAAACTCCCAATGGTTTCACCCCTATGATTCTCTATAGGGCAAAAGTTTAGAATTTTCTTTTGTAAAACCCATGCATCGTCAATCCAATGAGCCGTAAGACACATATAATTCACGTTCTGAACAGTTGGCCATGTATCCGTAGTTAGGCACACTGTTTGGCCTTTCAACATCTCTTTAACTTTTTTTGCTTCTTCTTTATAAATCTCTATACAGTCTCAAGCTACAGTCCATTTAGATGTCATCTTAGACTCCAGATTTAATTCCCACACAAATTCCTTAAAACCCTCATCATCAACAATGCTAAACGGCCGATTGTCTTTAATGCACATTTTGGCAAGGGGCCAATCTACACTTCTCTTGGCTGAAGGAATGCTTAGCCAAAGACCCACCCCCTCGGTACCTTTTGGCTTAAAGCTTAATTTTGTTTGTTTCTTTGCATCTTTGTCTTTACCTTCATAAAGGGGGCTGCGCCTACAAGAATTAACTAGATGACTGAGTAATGAGGAGGTTCCATTCTCTCTAGTGCCACAAGCTAAAACCTTTTTACAATGTGTGCATTCTGATTTTTTTTTGTGCCTTTAACATATGGAAAATGCTGCCATACAATGGACCGTAACTTAGGTTTTGCATTATTTTCTTCTTCAACATCACCTTCACCTTGGACTTCAACTCCATCTTCTTGTTGATCATCCACATTAATTACACCTTCATTAGTAGCCATGCTGAAATACATATTACGTTAGTACTAAATCGGGTGAAAACATGGTGAGTTGCAAAACAAAAAAGATTATAATAAAAGAAATACATATTGCGTTTTAATTATCACTAGGCATATGTTTAAATTGTTTCTTATCTTAATATAAAATAAATAGGCATATCACCTCAACAAGTAAATAACCAAATTGCCTTTTGGTTACGTTTAACAGTGGAAAAAGGGGTGGGGTATGATAGTAAATTCATATAGGTTTGTTCTTTTGTATCTATATTTATCCTTTTAAGGATTATAGAAACTAATACTGTTTACCTTTATTTTTTTCTCTCTATAACATGTGGAATTGGCTGTTATTGCATATATTGATCTAGAGATGCTATATTTTTAGAATCTGTCTACAAAAACTTTAAGAAATCTTAGCCTTACATACTAGTAACCATTAAAGAGTAAATCATATATAAATTAAGCCACATCCAGTTTTCGACAGACAAATAAGACTGTCTTCAACGAAATAATCATATACTGAACAAAAATAATGACCAATATGTGTAAGTCCTGCTTAATCATGAAAGAGTAATCACTTTTACTGTCAAAAAAGAACCAGAGTAACAAAATAACAAGATCAAATACAGTAGATTCGAAGTGTTGGTAACCCCATTGTTGGAAAGATAGTCGACTAGAAGAACAGAAGAGGAAATTGAAAAAAGCTACAAGAATGGTCGAATCCTGAAGAGGAATTTGAAAAAAAGACCTTACCTGAGACGAAGAGGAAGATTGCTTCAGTATTCAGGTCGCCGAAATCGATAGTTGCAATCCCAGTTGCCGGAGTCGATGCTCGATCGTTGCTGACTTGCTTCAATGGTTCGATCGTTGTTGACTTGCTTCAATGATTCGATCGTTGGCTGCTTCAGTCGCCAGTAAACGAAGGCTAAAGGGAGGCTAGGGCTTTTTAGAACACAAAAGACAATGAAAGAAATGTGGTGAAAGAAGTGGGAACGACCCTATTCTTTTTGGATTTGTATTTTTTTTAAAAAAAATGAAATATATATTCAATTAATAATAATATTTTAATATTGCGGTGCGGTTCAATTAATTTGCGGTTTTTTTTAAGATAAAAACGCACTGCACCGAAAAATTGCGGTTTTTTTTATTTTCTCAAACCGCACCATCGGTTATATGTTCGGTTTCGGTTTTTCGGTTATTTTGCGGTTATTCGGTTTGCAGTTCGGTTTTTACTCACCCCTAGTTTCAGTCAGAGGCAATGTAGTCAGATCTTCTTACCCAGTCAACCTCTAACTTAGTCGGATCTTACCCAGTCAACAACTATCAAACAACCCTTAAGATGTATTAATTAGTCATAAGACAATAAATCTTTTTGTCTAAAAGTTATTTTGAAAATCAAAATGAAATCTCAAACGCCCTGTAAGAACTATAAATAGTATAAATGGTAATATGTTATTGTGTTACATGCAATCGACTCGTTTTGGATGAGTGCATCCACAATGATGAGTTTAATGAGAGAGTTGAATAAGGTGACAAGTTTATGTGTCATTCAATGGATGAAACTCTACCATTATAAGATGTCATATTGGCATTCAATAGATTTTGAGTTCAATGGCCATTGAACTCTTCAATGGGAAAAATGAAAGTTTTTAATTCTTAAATATTTATTATAAATTACATTTTGTAATATTCTATTAAACTTTATAGAGTTCAATGCATTGTAGAGAAAAAAAATAATAAAATTGTATGGATTGTAGAAAGATGATGTGACAATCTATTAAATTCTATGAATTCAATGCATCCACCGGATCATAACCTTGTTATAACATCTTACAAGCTCTAAATTCAAACTAGACTCATTTACTAATTACTATAAGCGTACACTAACAGTGGATAAAAGGATTTCCATCCTCACACAAGTTAAATTTATAAATAAATAAATAAAAAAAAAAAAGCAAATATCAATCAGTAGTGGCAACAACAAGAATGCTTTCCTATTATATATGATCAAAAATCAAATTTACATGTAAACTTTACACTTGTGACTTGTATACATTCTTAATTAAACCTTCCTACTCTTTAATTACAAATTAACGTGATCATGGCTATCTACAAAAGCTTAGCAGGGGACTCCCACCTTGCAACCAAGGTATGCACCCACAGATTTGGTGAGTTTGGCGACGCTCTCAGCCGGTTGCGCCGGAATCAATGGTGGACCCTTGTAGGTTTTAGCCCAATGCGGGTTTCCTGACTCCCGGAAATATGCTCCGTTCAGCAACAAGTCTCCTTCACTTCTCCATGTCCACTTACGCCATACCGATTCTGGAACCTGCCTCCTGTTCGTCACCTCCTTACACGCACCATCTGGGGCGATGAATCGGTTTCCCTGGCTGATGATGGTGGCGCCGTCGCCACCTCCGATGGCGTAAGACTTCCATTGTGTGTAGTCATTGTTGACCACATGAACGAACCCAAATCTCACCGCCGGCAGCCTCTGTGTCAATCCTTTTCCGAAATGGTTGTACGCAAGGGTCACCTTCATTATCTTGTCCTCCGGCATCTCAGCACTTGCACCAAAAAGCAAAGCCTGTACAACATACAATCAAAGTTACAATCGTTTGATCGGAGTGTAGCGTCGGCCGCTGTGGGTGGTGGGTATACCGTATACGTACCTTGTCGTGCTTGACAAAATGGCAGTTGGAGATGGTGATATTGGTGGAAGCTGCAACGATATCGATAAGCCCGTCGTAACTGTTTGCAAAGGAGCAGTGATCGACCCAGATCTGTGACGATTTGAAGATGGAAATCGCATCGCCGTCGCTTTTTCCACGGATACCGACGTGGTCTGGCTCCGATCTGATCATGCCACCGGATTTCTCGACAATGTCGTACATGTGGACGCCATGAATAATGATATTGCGAACGAATTGAAGCATAAACCCTGCTCCACCGGAAATATGGACTTCAAAACCACGGCCATCGATGGTTTTATCACAAGTAAAAATAAGCTCCTGGCGGAGCTTGATGTTCATAGTACCGGAGAAGATGATCCAGAGTGGTTCAGGCAGGAGGACGGCATGGCGGAGGGTTCCCGGCTTAGGATTAACCATGTCGTTATCGGAGCAATCATTGACAACATAAATTCTCCCCAATTTTCCGCCGTAGGTGCCATGGCCAAACCCTTTGGCGCAATCAGCCAGGCGTTTCCGGTTCTTAGCCCAGTTGGGATCGCACCTCCAGCATTTGTCGATAGCGTTGTAGGCTACGCAACCATTCTTTTTCTTATCGACCAACCTCCTGTCAACGGCGGCAATTTGAGACATCGACGTCGACGACGATGGGATAATTGCAGCAAGTATGAAATATAGAACAACAACTGGATTACATCGGGTCCCTTCCATTTTGGCTCAAAGAGTGTAAATGGAAGAAATTAATTGTCGGGTAGCTAGTCTGGTGTGTATGTATCTGATCTTAACTCGGTTTTGATGTTAAGACCAGATCGTTTAAACCAGTCTAGCCACCATAACCAGCATGCTCCGGTTTATGTTATTTTTGAAGATGGTGGGTCGAGTAAATGAACCAACTTGGATGAAATGTGTGCAATTTATACTCCATTGAACCCTGTAACTTATTTTCAGAAAAATGAGGGGGGCCATTGGTTTGTGTTTTGGAGTTTTGGGTTCACCATACGTTTTGTGGGTACTGGGTAAAGAGAGATTAGTGGCCATGATTCCATGAATAGAAGTTGTTGTTGCTATATTTAAAGATATCTATCCGCTAAATACAAAAAATAACAATGCATTTTTATTAAATTGTTTATTTTAATTTTTTTCTAAAATTCCAAATGGTTGAATCTTGCAACCCCAGTTGAGCTGTATCTATTGTATGAGGGGTGAATCAGATACTCATCTCCCTCAAACTCATTATATGAGAGGTAAATTAGGTACTAGAGGGAAATTACAATCAAGGAAAACTCAACACTGTCATTCTTGAGTCTCGAACCCGAGTTATATGTTATTTTCCTAAACCACAAACATGTTATTTCCAAACCATGAGCTTTGAGAACTCATTAATTTGTTTATTATTTCATCTTATTTTTTCCTATTTTTGCATTGTACCTTTGTATACTCAGAGCAATAGCATCCAAAGACATAACAATTATTCCATTATTTTTTACTAGTTATGTAGATTTTTTTAGCATATAATGTCCTAATAAGAAAAAAATATAGATAATTCGATAATTTTCATAATACATTCCACTAATAAAAAAAAAAAGAATTCAAAATATAAGATTTTAATAGAAAGAAATAAAAATTTGATGCTAGCATACAATCAATATATACTATATCATTATTTATTCCATTTATAGCCCTATAAATAATCTACTAAAAAATAAACATAGACATGCAGTTGTACATAGACGTGCACAAACCGGGTTTTTTTCCGAACCGGTTCGGTTTATAAAACAGGCTCGGTTCTAGTCAACAAGTCAAAACCGATTCACCCCTACACCGGTTCGGTTCCAAACCGGTTCACCACCAAAATAATCCAAACCTATATAAACCGGTTCGGTTTTTTCTAAACGGGTTTACTATAAACCGGTTCTATAAACCTATATCAAACCGGTTCAGAAAAAACCGGCGGGCTTAATTTTCTTTTTTTTTTTTTGCTTTTTTGGTTTTGTTTTATGGACTAAAGAGGATAACATATGCATGGGTAATTTTTTGGTTTTGTTTTTGTGCAACAATATGGTGTTTATGGGTTGAAGATAATCCAACTTCCCAACCTTTTATATGGCACACGCCCTTAATCACAAAAAGTTTAAAATTACACTAAACTAACTTATCAAATATCTAAACAAAAACCAAATGCAGGGTGTTAAAAAAGAAAGTTGCAACAAGTTTTTTTACTCATTTCAATTCGCAAATGTTCAAATCCCTCATATCCCTGCAAATCTTTTCTGTTAATATCATAATACCCAAAACTAACAGTAAGACATAATAAGTTGTGATGCCACGAAAAACCGGTCCAAAACCGGTTCCAATGTTCATAAATGCGAACCGGTATAACCCGGCGGTTCGGTTCAGGGGCGAACCGGTTTTCGGTTCGGACATCGGTTTGTGAACCGGTTTTTTTGTGCACCTCTAGTTGTACACTTGTACTTGAGAACTGATACATTGTTATGTGGGCCACATCTCAATGGTTAAAAAACACTTTGGACCCTTCAATCCAACGTTTATATCTTTTGAATCAAATAGTAACCGGCCCAACCCGTTTTCCTAATCAAAAGCGGGTCAAACCTGGCCCATCGGGCACAACCCGAGCAAACTCTTGTAATTCATAAATCTCTATGAACTATACTAATATAACTACGTGAAGAAAGAGTAATTTTGTTGGGACATTTCTGGCAAAATTTCACATATGAAAAGCAAAATCACAACAACACTTATTCCAACACTTTTGACCATTTCAAGCAAAAATTCTGCCTTCATGAGTTCATATATGTACTTACTGTTTATCTGACTTACTTCATTTGCAATTCATATCTTTATTCTCCATGTTATGTTTCTCAACCATATCTAAAAAGAAAGATCATAAAAGCAAAATGTTAATCACACAATGAAAGAATTCTTTATTACTAAAATACATGAATCCATTGGCCAATCTATAAAGACAACCCTACTGAACTAGTTTTTAAAATGAAACACATTGGTCCACATTTGTGCCAAAAGAATTATAAACTAATGGGAACAAGCACGACCAAAAACTGGTATCAAACTTTTGACTAACTGCTTGACTAGCTAGATTTTATCATCTTTAGTTGAATATACAAGTCTTTAGTTTATGTATATATTTATAAAATTAGTAAACTTTAGAGTAAATTACATTTTTGGTTCCTGGGTTTAGCTGATTTGTCGATTTTGGTCCCTAAAGGAATTGGGTTGCAGTTTTGGTCCTTATTTTATTTCAGTATTTCATAACATTTTGGCCATGGGTCATCTATGTTAAGAGCCTAGGAGTTATTTATTTATTTATTTTACAGTGTTCATTTCTCCCTTGGACCAAAACTGAAAAATATAGCATACAATAGGGATCAAATTTGTAATTAATTTTTTCTTTTTTTTAATAAACTTACATAACTTTTATATGTTCACATTGTCTTTTTAAATTATCTGTATATTAATATATTTTGTTAAAAACGTTATATTTGAACAAAATACACATACAAGTAAATCATATATTTTTCTCATGATTGCACCATATATAGTATATGTGTATCCTTAATTATGGTATGTATATTGTTTTTTCCGGTTGTAGTCCATGGACAAAATGGTCGTTTAAAAAATTTAACAATTGGTCTATTAACATAGTCGATGTAGGGACGAAAATCATTAGGTAACTTTAAAATAATGTCCAAAGTTGCAACCCCATTTTTGTAGGGTCCAAAACCGAAAAAACCATCTAAACTCAGGACCAAAATTACAAATTACACTAAACTTTATATAATTCTTTTGACCATATCATAGAGAAAGAGACAAACATCTGCATTATTTTCAGGAAGCCTGTTCTTGGTACGGGCTAAATGAACAAACAAGAAAGCTTCACTTGGAAGATTTTACACTACCTTTTCTTGATGGATGATTAAACAAGGCAACTAAGAAAGCAAAAAGATCCTCCTCACGGATGCTTATATACTTATATATATATACATATATATCATAAACAATAGTAAAATCCAATAAACCCACCGAGACCAATTATGATTTCCCTAAATGATGTTTATCATATTGCGGCAGCCATAATTCCATTATATGTGGCCATGATCTTGGCTTACGTTTCTGTAAAATGGTTGAAGCTATTCAACCGAGACCAATGCTCGGGTATAAACAAATTTGTTGCTAAATTTTCAATTCCTTTGTTATCTTTTCAAGTGATTTCCAAAAGTGATCCTTTCAAGATGAACCTCAAGCTAATTGGTGCTGATGTTCTTCAAAAAGTCATTGCCTTGATTATGGTTGCTGTAATTACCAAAGTTAGATCCAATGGACACTTAAACTGGATCATAACAGGTATTTCTTTGTCAACATTACCCAATACTTTGATCGTAGGGATCCCATTACTAAAGGCAATATATGGAGATGAAGCACATGTGCTTCTTGCACAGATAATTGCATTACAAAGCCTAATTTGGTACAACTTGTTGTTGTTTCTCTTTGAGCTTTCAACTGCAAGTGAAGCTCACATGATAGAAGCACAAGGTATATATGTATTTATCTGTTAAGATGTTGTTTATATTTTTTTTTTTTTAACTTTTTGTTAATGTCATCATATCGTCTATTGATTGACTCAAGGGGATCCAGAGGTCAGGCAAGAAGCACAAGAAATTGATGAAAGGGAGGGGACAAAATCAAGAACTGCAAAAAGAAGAAGACTAATTATCATTTTATTAACTGTTGGGAAGAAGCTTCTAATGAATCCTAATTTTCATGCAACTGTAGCAGGCATTGCATGGGCAAGCATAAGTTTTGGGTAAGTTTGTAAAAAGTTTCTAGATTTCAAATACAGTAATTAGGTCAAATTTATTAAAGAAACAATTAGCATGTTGAACTTAATGTAGGTGCAATGTGAAGTTGCCAAAGGTGGTTGAAAATTCGATAACTATATTGTCTGATGGAGGACTTGGAATGGCAATGTTTAGCCTAGGTAACAACATATATAATATATTAATTTTAGTTGTAATATATATAAAGTTGTGAAATTATAAGATATAGAATTAAAAGAAATTAAACTCTGCTAATTTGTATTACTTGATCACAGGTCTATTCATGGCATCACAGGCCAGTATAGTAGCTTGTGGTACCCGATTGGCCTTATTAGCAATGTTCTTGAAGTTCATTGTTGGGCCTGCAATAATGGCAGCACCCTCCATTGCTATTGGATTAAAGGGTGTACCATTTAAAATCGCAGTTATACAGGTAATTGCTATAGGGTTATACCATGTTTTTGTTTTCGTTATTATATTTATAATATCATCAAATTTAGGATGCGTATAAATCAATTAATAAACAATATATTGGTCCAGGCAGCACTTCCGCAAGGAATTGTCCCATTTGTATTTGCCAAAGAGTATAATGTTCATCCAGATATATTGAGCACTGGGTATTACGATTGTTGCTTATTTCTACAAGTAGACTTCAGGTAACAACATGACAATTAATTGATTAATTTGGATATATATATTACAGGATAATCGTTGGCTTGCTTGTGGCATTGCCCATTGCAGTGGTGTACTATTTGTTGTTGGGATCATAGGTAATGCACACAAGGCAGGAAGTGAGGGAATTATATGTATGTATATTGCTTGTGAAATTCCTTTATTCATCTGCATGTGAGCAAAATAACCTAATAGAATGGGATGGTAGAGATTATACAACGTGTGTGTATTGTGCATATATGAGAACAAATTTTTTCAAACAAATGATTGAATAAACTAGCAGCTGGACAAGGAAATCAAGAAGTACTTTGGTATAAGTATACTTATATTGTTGTATTTTTGGAGGAAAT